GTCCGAAAGCTGACGACACACTCCGTTCTTAATCGAAATAGCAGCAAGCACGGTATCTTCCTTGGGTTCCTGATGATAATAAATGAGCAGGAAAGGGTGTCAGTCTGGCCAAATTCGGTATTGGGACAGTAGCGGATATCAAAATCGTAACCAAAATGAATGGTTGGCCATCGTTGAAGTCGATTGGCTGAATACACTGGGATGGCCTTCTTCGAAACGAAGATGGACAGTAACAGTTTGTGGTCGGTCAGCAGAGTGAAATGACGACCATACAACAGTTTGTGGAGCTTCCCGACGGCAAAAAATAATGGCTATGGCTTCTTTCTCAATTTGACCATAGTTCTTCCCGGTAGAGGTTAAAGTTCATGATGCGTGCATGATCACCCTTTCGGACCCGTCGGGAAAAGTATGCGGAATGACGGCACCAACGCCATGATTGGAGGTGTCTGTAGCAATGACTATCGACGTTGAAGGGTCATAGTGTGTGAGCAGCAGATATGAACTCAGCGTCGACTTCAGTTCGAAAAAGGCCTTTTCATAGTCAGTGGACCAGCGCCTGGGGCATCATTCTTCAGTAGACGGTTGAGGGGAACTCGTAAGTCGGAAGGCGATATGGTAGCTGATCAGGCCAGGAAATGATTAAAGTTGTGATAAATCCTTGGGTGCAGTCATTCGTTGGATGGCACACATATATTCGGGATCTGGATGGCGACTGCTACGTATGCCAGTCCGTAGTGTCAGGACATCATGACACGATGCGCGCGTCAAGCGCTGGTCAAGCTCACGGACACGTGTTCACCCCTTTCTTTGTTCTGACTGCCCAGTCTTCACTCCTGGATAGCGGGCTCACCCCTGTCCTTATTCTGATTGGCCAGCATTCGGCCTATTACATTTACCCCACACTATATACACTGCGTGTCAAAATGACTCGTCACTTGAACTGTGCTCTCGTCCTCAGTACACGTCCTGCCTATAGACAGTCCTCTGTTTTGCCTAAATGACATTCTATCTACCGGCAGCTCTCTGTTTTCACATACATTACCTTCGTTCTGCCTACAAACTGCCTTCCGTTTTCAATACATAACATTGGCGACATATCTTAAGGAGCGTGGCTTCACTATTACCTACACCGTTATCTTTCTGGCTGAAAGGCGTTCCGAAACCTTCAAAATACTCATGGTAACAATGGAGGATTACATTTGAAGATTTATTGATATTTTAAGGCTCAGAAGGTTAACCCTAACAGCTAAGATCTTCCAGGCCCGTGGCTCCTTTAGGCGAGGAGAGAGGGAAGTCAATGGGAAGCCAGGTTGGTAGGAATAGTGTATTCTGCAGAAGGATAGGATAATAGATGGAAAGAGTTTTGATTCACGGAAAACCGCAGTTCGGCTGCCAGGACGTCGATTCCGGAGTGACTAGTGCATCAGGAATCGTCAGCGCATGCTTTGTTACGAAGGCTATTGAGGCGGATGATGTCTAGACTAGGTCATTGGGTGACCTTGAGATGGCGAAGGCTGGCTAGCATGAGCACACAGTCACACTGAGGCGTATGTGCGCGTCGGTCAAGGACGGTTAGCGCCTAGCCCCAGGAGGTAGTGGGCGCGCAGGCAGACTAAAGGCGCCATGCGCCAGCGGCTGATTTTGGGTTCAAAGTGGCTGCAGAAGGCCACTACATATTGAAGTGAACTACTTCGATTTTGTTGCCTGCTGTAAAACTAGACGCTGCGTCTAATTTATAGCTCCTCTGGACTCATCTCGGAGAGCTGGAACAACGATAATTCGACGTTCTTAAGTTGCAAGGGTCTACTGATCTCCATACGGCATTTACGAAGCTCGAAGCAATGTAGAGCAGAAAGGAAAACATCTTCCTGAGACGCCATTGCTTTTGTTAGATGCGTCAGGAATCACACCAATACACTGGTGATTTTATTGCCAGTTTTAATCTCTCCGTTCAGGACTGCCGATCCAAAGAGATCGCGGCAAGTAAATTCGAAGAGATGATGCTGTTAGAGCAGCTGCTTGTGGGTTTGCGGGCTGAAAATTCTCTGGAGAAAGTCTTATCCGAGAAGGATTTATCATGGTAAAAAGCTTGTGATACTGCCCATCATCAAGAGGGCATACAGCAGGACAAAATGGATGTTTAGTCACATTAAGTTCCCGGTCGCAGGCTCACCAGCAACCGTAGGTTCGGCCAAACAGTTTCATGGATGAACGTAGTATTTTGAAGTCTTATGAGAGGTGGGCATTCAGACGTGGACGAACGATTACATGGGTAGTCTCATGGGCATTTCCAGTCTCGGCAGCGATCCGCTATCATGAACCCAGATGCAGAACATTGAACTTACCAAAAACACATTCAATCTGACCAGCAGTATGACTGTCTTTCAAGTACCAGTTCAGCAGAGGTTTAGTGTTATGCTGGAAGCACGTGTTCATAACAAGTAGTCGGCTTTGAGCAGCAATGTTTACCAATCATTGACCACTTTCACATTGAGAACCAAGCCAACATATGAGTGTTTTTGGGGTCACCAGGTCCAGCCGCCGGAAACAATCAACCGATCGCGGCGAGGACGTCCTTGGTCTAATAGTTGCAGCTTCCAGTTAAACGTCTCCTCATCGCGCTGTTCAGCAGCGGAGGTTGTTGAGTACACGGAGACGACAGACATGTCTGTAAAATGACCCTTCAAGCGCAAGTAAGCCATGGTTAGCTTGTTGCCAGAGGGCAGTTGCCACACCATGTCCATCGAAGGAGTCGCGTGAGCCGCTGTGGTAGAGGAAAAAGAGTGAATTCGCTCCGAGCGCCTGGGTCAGGAATTCGGTCTTCGGACGGGCAGCGGACCAGGTATGTTCGCACATTCCAACATACAATACCAAAGGTCCGATTCCGATTGGGTAGTCAAGCTCGACTGCTACTCACCCACACTACTGAACTAGGAGGGTTGCGGCGCACGTCCGTTATCGCGGACGCCGTAGCATGAACCATCGTACAGTCATGCGACATTATTTGTCATGAAGTGTCTTAGGTCCTCTGAAAAATGGTGGGCCCCCAAAAGCCGTTCGGATTG